GGCAGATTAAAAAAATAATAATAAAGCAGATGAGAAGAAAGATGAATAATGCTATGAAATTCACCTGAAGCAACATAAGTATACGCTCAAGGCCATATGTGATTTCAACAGATATCGGTGACAACTGAAGACTTCCAGCCTGAGGGGAGAGAGAGAGAGAGAGAAAAGAAAATGCTAATGAAATTCGGATAACTTTTAAAAATCAGAAGAAAATTACATAATGTCGTCCGAGAGTGAAAGCCGCAACTTTCAAAGGAAACAAAAATACATTTCAAGACGTAGATGTCAAAGACAAACCTGCTGGAAGTAGGTAAATTGTGTGATCTCCATCCCATCCATCCAGATTTCCCAGCCCAACCCCCATGCACCAAGTACCTGTAAGCATGTGTGAGGTCATTAATAGCAAAGTGAAGTAAATATATCATGGTTTTAAAGTGCTAAAAATTAGGAGGCAAGCTGGCTTTACAAAATTACATAAAACTATACAGACTGAAAGACATATACATACATAAAAAAACCACCATGAAAATAGATTATATTACCGGGCTCTCCCAATTGTCCTCAACAAATCGTATATCATGTTCACTAACATTAATACCTGTTACACACACAAGCATAATGTAAAATAACTATTGGAACACAAATATATAGAACATTCATGATCAAATTAAATGTTGTATCCACCAAGTCAAAAATAATTTATTCAACTATATACCATTTGATTCCTTAAATGAGAACTAAGGAGGATGAACAAAGACCAATAAAAATTATATTATAAGCTTTAAGTCCTAGACCCTTAATGTGAAAGGAGAGAAAATGGTTCCTAATTTTGAGTATCATTAAACCAATTAATTTATCAAAAGTTAGAGGATGCTCTTGACAATGTAGCAAGTATATGGTAAAAAAAAAATTAAGAAATGATTGATGTTTAACAGTAATTGGTTGGTATCTTGGAGACACAAAATTATTAGAAACTGCACACACCTCCACAAGAGCATGACATAAAAGATAGAGCAAAGCTTCCAAGGCAATTCACTTTTACATTATAAAAATGGTCAGCATGTTAGACGTGCACGGTTCAAGTGCATCTAAGCAAAACTCTAGTTATTGTGCCAAAGCTCAAAGTTGACAAAATTGTCAGCTTATCAGAACATAAAAGATAACTATTTCATTATTTTCAGTCCAATCATTAGGCTATACAAGGAGGAAGCTATCTTACAAACCAGATTCAGGTTCCATAAAGATAAGCAGCATGTATAAGTTTAGCACAAACTACAAGATTAATAAAAGAAAGGCAACATTAAAGAATTATGGCAACTAGCAACTTACAAGTAAGAACAAACATTTACATAGAATGAAACAATGTATATCAAGATGTGAAGAAAAGAAGGACAACCAAATACCTAATGCTGAAAGACTATGAATAAAGAGGTCTTGTGAATTTCCTGGATCAGGCTTTAGTATAACCTGAAATCACTCAAGGAAAGGTAGGAAAAAGGAAAAGGAAAATGAAAAATGACTGCAAAAGAAGCTTGAAAAATCATTAAAAAATCACTAACACAAGCTATTCAATAAATTGCACAGACCTGAAATTGAGTGTGGCGTTGGAGCCTGTTAGGATTTTCCCCATAACGACTATCATCTGGCCGGATGCTAGGCTCCACATACCTTTGATAAAGAACTCCAAATTATCAATCAGCCAATAAATATTATCTGTATGACAACAAATTGATAGAAGTCATGCAGAATCTGAACAAGAAATTAACTATTGATGATTTCTTTAAAAAAATTTTCTTGCAATTAAAATTTCACAAAGAAGCAATCACCTTTTTTCTACAGTAAGAAACTTCTATGAGGACTTTTATTTCTAAACAAACTCTTCTAATAAGCTTCTCAAAGACATTGAGTAAGTTCCTCACATTTAAATACTTTTGATAATACAAAGATTAATATAATAGTTGCAGTAACCAAATGTTGAATGCATACCACCAGTGAATTAGCCAATGGTAATATATATGCATATACGAATCAAGACTAAGCTAGGCACCAGCATGATGATATACATTTAATTTCTGTTCTTATTAAAATACCCAAAGTTCCAACAACTCCAGATTAGGAACTATCAAGCAATTTTTAAAATGCTTTCTCGCACCTTTAATGATTTCAACAAAAGATCTAATGCAGTATCATAGCATACTAAATAAGCTAATCAGAGAAGCTTCTGAAAAATTTGCATTTTCCATCACTAGTAAGCATGGAAAAATCTCGTGAATGATTGTGCATAAGGAAAAAAAAAAAAGAAGCACAACACCAAAATAAATGACCAGAAGGAAACATAATTGAAAATGGACGAAAGTCCATGCAACACAGGCCAGACAACCAGAAATTGAAATATCCAATGAGCATTGAGCCTCCCCCATTATGTTTAAGCTCATACATAAAGCACACAAAGAAAAGTGTTCTCAACAAATAATCATCAAAGACAGACTCAAAAACAAAAAGAATTATTAAAAATGTATAAGAAATTATTTTAACTTATAGAAAGTTGCTTCAATAAGTATTCTTACGCCACATTCCATGGTTCTGGACCAAGAACTCTTAAGTACGTTAATGGATTCATAGTCCCGGCTCCAACCTGATTATTACAAACAAAACCTTAATGAAACAAGCTGCAAATTGACGAGAATCTAAAACTCAGTGGACAAAAAATTTTCCGCCAAAAAGGAAAGTAAAAGAAAACAAATCGTAAAAACAATTACCTCGGTGTTGCTGCATTGCATCACCGCGCATCCAACCGACGCCCAATATTCCTGAAAATTAGCAACAATTACACCGATTTTCGTCACCAATAAATAATTTGAAACAATAAAGTGTAATACTAAGAATAACAGTGTAAAGAATTAGTCAAAAAGAAATGTAGTAGTTCTTGAAACCTGGAGTTTTTGAATAGCTTGTTGGAATGTGAGAACTGAAGCTTTCTGTGGCTCGTCGCTGGCGTTTGTGGAGGAATTTTGTTGAATTGAAGAAGTGTTCACCGCAAAGGCGGTTGTTCGACTGAAGCAGCGGCGGCTCAAGGGCGGTGGAGCTTTGAGAAGGATAGCATTCGGCTTGGCCAGTCGCAGGAGAGAGAGGTGGTAAGCGTGAGGCTTGAGAAAGGAGATAACTAAGGGGAAGGTGAGGATAGCCATGGCTCTGGCTGTGTTTTTTTTGAGGCTTGGGTTCAGCCTTTAGCTATAAAGAAACCGGGAAGGGATACCATGAGGGGGATTAAATAGGGTTTTGACGCTAACGGTCAAATAATGCTCAATTAACGGAAGTTTGACGTGAGTGGATACGGTAATACTGAGTAGATACGGAAATCGTGAGTAGATACGTTAAACGATCAATTAACGGTCAAAATAACGTGAGTGGATACGGTAATGGTGAGTAGATACCGAAATCGGGAGTAGATACGGTAAACGATCAATTAACTGTCAAAATAACGTGAGTGGATACGGTAATCGTGAGTAGATACGGTGAACGGTCAAAATAAAAAATAAAAAAAATGAACCCGACGTGAATCGAACACGCAACCTTCTGATCTGGAGTCAGACGCGCTACCATTGCGCCACGGATCCTTGCTTTTGGGTTGCGATACGTTTTTTTTATAGTCAGGGCATCGTCTCTCCAAATTATAAATCAACATGTATATATTAGGAATATAAATGATACTTTATAATGTAAATCAGAGATGTGCTCAAGCCCATATATGTGAATTTAAACACATAATTTTGATAAAAATGGATTAATTTTTTGACAAAATAAATTATAAGTATTATAAATGTGTTACGGATTTCACACTAGTAAAAGATGAGAGGGAAAATTTAATATTGGTTGCCTTTAATTTTTTTTGGATTATTATGGTATTTAGTAAGTAATATCAATAAGAGATGTATTATGGATTTCACATCAATAAATATATGATGTGGGTCTTAAATATATAAATATGTATTTTTCATCGATTATTAGATATATTTTTGAGTTGAAAACATAAATCCATAATTTATTAATTTAGTTAAATTCTATTTTCAAAGTTTAAGGATGTATGAAGTTGAATTTAAGTTTTGGCTCATGACATATCATATTATGACGAATTTGAATCTTCATTGATAGTAAAATAAATTATAATTTTTATTGATGCAAGGTAAAATGTCACAGATTTTATATTAATATGAAATGAAATGAATCTTGATTATATAAATATGAACTTTCTATCACCTACTGGATCTATGTATTGATTTAAGTCATTTTCTAATTAATTCATTTCAAAACAAGTAAAAAAAATAATTATTGTTATACTTTTTATTTGTCAGTAAGTATTCTCATTAATAATATAAACATTAAAAAAACATATTGAATTCATTAAAATTACATTTAAAATTTTTTTTTGTTTGTAAAAATTTGTCTTTTTTTTCCTTCTAAGAAAATTAAAAAATTCAATAATATTTTATATGAATATTTATTTTTTAAAATATAAATATGTAATGTTTTTTAATATGAAAATAAAAAATAATGAAACATAAATTTAAAATAATGAATAAAAAAGTACTAAGTATCTAAAAAATATTTCCTTCTTGTACATCTCAAAAAATAAATAAATAAAAAAGAACCCTAACGTAACATATAAGAACAATATAAATTGTAAATCATTTAGCCATACTTCTTCAAATTTTTAAGTGCATAAAAGTTAATATTAATTATGTACTCTATTTTCATTATTTACATAACCATTTAATCTATAATCATTTTTATGTCTAGATTAAGGTTCACAATTAAGCCTTTAATCAATACAAAAATTAAGAATGTTAATTAGAGGATAGTCCAAGGTAATGCTCTTCATGATTTCAAGCCAACGGCGTCGTCCTGGCATTCCTCCACGACCATCAACGTGGCGAAAAGTCATAGATGCCACGTAGCACCAACACAAATTCAACCGACCGACGAGGCTGCCGAAGCACTCTCTGATTTTCACAGGACAATTCTCAAAAGGAATTCGTCATATATACAACATAAATAAAAACACAACACGAAAAAGGACAAAGAAACAAAAAAGAATGGCGGAAGAAGAGGAAGTGAAGATTGAAGTGGAGGCGGTGCAATCTGTTTACGAAGAGGATTGCGTGGTCGTCGAATCGTATCCTCCGCACCTTCACCTCCATATCAAGCCTCGCACCGCCGATGTCTCTTCCCAACAGGTAAATATCGAGGATTAACAAGATAAGGATTCTTAGCCTAGGTGTTTAGTTTCTGATTTCTTCATTGCTTAATATTTATTAGCTAAGAATTTTTATTAAAAGTAGTTTACAAATAGGAGCACAAATCTATCTAAATGTTCGTAGAAATGTTCGTCCAAGAAATTCTTAATTTGACCCCTTTTTGCAGTTCGTGGAAGCAATTATTGGAATTCGAGCAAGCTCACAGGTATTTTTATTTAATTTCTATTTTTTAAATTCTTTCAATTTCTATTTTTAATTAGAAGTTCATTAGAGCTAGGGTGGCTTAGAATTAGCTTCTGATTAATGCGAAAATGTGCTTAATTGTATTGGGGAAATTTTGATTATAAGTTACCTAAGCTGGATTTTTGCTATTCTGCCACTGACTTTGTATCCTTCATGGCAGTATCCGAAGGAGCCTCCTCGTATTTATCTGATAGATTCAAAGGGTCTTGATGAACAAAGGCAAACACATCTTATAAGTAGTATACAAGACAAAGCCTGTGAGCTTCCCTCTTGTTTTATGCTTATAGCACTTTGTGAGGTAACCAGAGTATCGTAAGGTGACTTGCATTATTATTTTTATCTATATTGCTTCCCAAAATGTCTGAGGAATTTGCATGAGGTGTATTGGTTACTAAAGCATTGGACAAATTTAGTTGGTGTACTTTGAGACTTTACAAACATTTTCCATTATGACTTTTTATATAGCCATGATAATTTTCCAGTTTGTAGCTTGTACCATATTTTCTAAATGGTATTAGTGTAACTAGATTATGTATTTGTGCCTTTTGTAGAATGGTTATTGGAATTTGGTATTTGAATTGATAGTGTTTATAGCTTATTGGATTATGGAGTTTTACTTGTTTGCAGAAATAAATAATTCAAATTTGTCTCTAGGAAGCGGTTGAGAGGCTTTCTGCTATGAACCACCCTGATGGCGATTGCCCGTTGTGTTTGTATCCTTTGATGTCAGAAGATGACCAGAAAGAAGGGTTGCCTTTTATGAAGTTGATGTCTTGCTTTCATTGTTTTCACAGGTAAGAGTTGTACTTCCACTACTTATTGTATTATTTTACTTTAACATTATGTTTGGATTTGGTTTCTGGTTTTGTTTTCAATCTTCTTTATGTTTTATTTTTTATTTTTTGTGTGTATGGCAGTGAGTGCATTATTAGATGGTGGAATTGGCTTCAAATTGAGAATAAGAATAATGCTAAGCACCCATCTAGTGCAACTGTACATCATTTAAGGAACACAGGAAGTCAACAAGGTATGTTTAAGTCACAATTCAAATTAGCAATCATTTTTTATGTATAATTGAGAAGAGAAATTGTTGTAGTTAATTTTCTACATGTTTTTGGGTGTTATAAAAGTTTTTTCTCAAAGAAAGTTACTGTGAACATATGCAGATTTGTGTATACTTTATACCTATAGATTATATTGAATTGTTTGTCTAATATGGAGCAGAAGAAGTTTAAATACTTAAATTAAATTGAAAGAGGAAATTGCATCCACTGTATTTGAAGAATGATAATTAGCTCAAGAAAAAGATGAATCAGGTTTCAGATGTGACAAAATTAAAATGATTTCTGTTTGCCATGCTTGTTTTTGTTGTCTTTCGGAGTTACTGTTATTTTGTTCCGATGTCTAAAATTTCAGAAATGGTTTCCTTTCCTATCTGAATGTAAGATAGGTCAAATCTTATGCAAACAATATGTTAAAATAAGTAACTTTTTCTTGCTAATATACTTTGGAGATAAATGTAATGTGGTTACTTATTATATGTGATAGGGCATCTGTTGTTGTATTTGCTTAGTAGTGAGATGCAAACTGTATAAAAATGACAACTATTACATTTTACTAGGTGAAAATGTATTGCTAACGGTACAACATTATGCATTTTTATTCGATCTGAGAACAAAAAATAATTCGCCTGATTTTATAAACTTTGTTTATTTTATTTGTCTTCTATGATTTACCTGATTTGGTATTTTTGGACATAAATGGAGCAGTGGAAGAAGGCATGGGAAACTGTCCAGTTTGCCGTAAGGTTTTTCATGCCAAAGATCTTGAACATGTGCTTGACCTGGTTGGCACTTATTCTTCTCAACAGGTATGTCATCTGATTTTTAGTGGTAGATTTGTGAAGGTATACTTATATCTTGTATTGTCCATGACACTCCAATCTTGTGGATATATGTACATGTGCTTGATCGTTCTTACTTTCTTGGTTGTTAAACATTCAACATTTAACTGAAGTTGATGAATCTACTCTCTCCTTTTGGTTGGATTTCAGTCTTTGGACAGAACTGAAGTTAAAAATGATGAGACACTTCTTCATTCGGACTTGGAGAATATAAGGAGGCAGAAATTCGAGGCAATACTAAAACTGCAGCAAGAAAACAGTGGCTTGATTGACTCCAAGAAAGATCACAATGTTCTGCCGGGTTTAAATCCTCAGAATACAGTCCCATCATCTAACCATGCATCAACCGAGGAAGCAGGTGAGCAACCACAAACTAATCCAGCAGCAACTGCAGAAATAAATTCCAGTTGTTCTTCGACTAGGCCTAGCACCAGCAAGCACTGGAATGCAGGCGCGAGAAAACCGAGAGGACAAAATCCAAGAAAACAAGTAAGACAGTGGGTTAGAAAAGACAATGGTGGTGCTGCAGATTAAACCAGATATTGTTAAGACTTGCTGTTATTAATTTTTGGAAATTCATACATCAAATTGGTAATGTTGTACGAAATAACAATTTTAGCAAGAATAAAAGAAGAGAAAGAAAGAAAATGAAAATTCACTGATAAAAATGAAAAAATAGAAGCCCAGTAGCCCAATTTGCTTGAATGTTCCAGCCCAACAGCCCAAATTTCCCCCAGCTAGTTCCCAGATATGGGCTGAATTTGGGTCACGACCAGTCCAAAGTGCTTCAAGTTGTTGCAATTGGGTTGGGAGCAATAGAACACCCCTTCTTAATTAATTAATTAATTAACATCATACTCCAAAAATAAATATATAATTTTTTATATTCTATGCATTTAGTGAATCAAATATTATTATCAAAATTATAAATTTTAATAAATAAATATTTATAATTTTAAAACTATTCTTTCGGAAAGATTTTAAATTTTTATTTTTACATGTTTATGAATTGATGTTTTATGATTAAGTGATGATGTGTTATATTATATACAGACAATGAATTAAATATAAATTCAAAAAATTTATATCAACAAGAGCTTTTTTCTTATGCAATTCTCATGGATCTATATTATGTATTTTTTTTTTAAAAGTTATCTATATTATGTATTGACAGTGAGCGAATCATTATTAGTGATAAATTCATAATATTATATGAAAAATAATTAAATTGATAATTTTAAAAATAATTATACTATATATAATAAGCTTTATACACGCAATAACACCCAAGTATTTAATTTATTAATTGATATATAATTTTTTTTATTTAAAAAATAGAGTTTGAATTTTTTTTTAATTATAAAAAAGACTTTATACACATAATAATAATAAAAAAATAGAAATTAAGAGATGATGGCGACCGCTACATGTCACTCGGTTGACTTTGCTGGTGATCGTTACCTGTACCAAATGAGCTGATGGCGATTTTGAGACCATCAATTTCCTTTCTATATTTGCAGCGGCTCCTAATCTCATTATGCAGACTGCAACTAACCTCGTGACGAAGCAGGTGTTCACTGTTCATGGCCGATTTCTAAACAGGAAAAGGTTCCCTTTGTTCTGGAGGAAAGCAAAAAAAAGGGGTGTAACAAAAGGCATGCATAAAAACCAGCAAGATGACAAAAGTTGATCAAAGTTTCTGATATAATCGGAAACATCCATGATTGACTCTTCCTAGAGATGTAAAACGTTGATCACTTTCAGTACCTGGCGACTGACGATTGCCAACAAGTTCATACTTTCAAAAGACAAAATTAAGTTGGTTAGAACCGTGACTAGCGGTAGAACAAATCTATCTGGCTTTGAGCAATCAAGCATCGTTTTCAAGAGGGGAAAAAGGGGTAATTGAAGAGAGCAAAAGCTTATAGGGTTTTCATCCACGTGTGTTTGGAGGTTCAAGGTGCTAATCGTGCCAATTATATGCAACTTTTACTACTGTTTTTTTCAACATTATCAGCACACGACTGATGGTTTTACACATGTAGTTTGCAATCGAAGATTCTAATTTCTTGCCACGAGTTTTTATAGTTGGTATCTTTTTAATCAAAACACCTCATCCTATCTCATGTCTTTCTTCTTGATTAGGTAAGAAATCTCTTATCGTTGAATTTAACGACCATATTATAAACTGTGTAATTTGAACTTAAGATAATGAGATTGATACGTTAAAGAAAATCACGAAAAATGTTTTTTTTGTACACATTTATAGAGAAATAAATTTATTTATAAAGTTTTTAATAAAATTGAGTATTGATAAATCCGAATCGTTTTATACTTGGTGGTAAGGGAGAGTGAGAACTGTTTGATATATGTTTTAATGAAGTGTAATGATATACTTTTACCTTAGTTTGTCTCGAATTTTGAGTAACAATAAATGTTTTATATGTAGCCAAATCTACAAGATTATGAAGGCTACTATAAACAAACGTTTGATATTATGAAAGCATGGACCTGAAGGAGACCTTGGGGGTGTTGAACTTGAGCCAGAAGAGGAGATTATTGCTGTTTGAATCAAATCTCTCTGCAGCCCCACAAGAAGATGGAAGTAGTTACTGAAGTGGACCTTGTTTTCCATTGGCACCACTCTCATAAAGTCTTGAAACAACGATTGAAATCAAATCCTAGGCAGCAGGCCATTTAAGTTAATACGTGTTGCCTGTCTCATCAGAGCAAGCAGATCCAAAAGAAGCTTCATGGCTTTGTGTACTTAATTTGCAAACAATTCAAGTGGTTGATTTCAATCCTTAGTTTTTTGTTTTGGTTGTTTGTTTTTCAATAAATTCGTGTCTTGTCCTGCCTTTAGATGGAATGGCCCATGTTTGAACGTACCGATCAACCTACGACTTGCTTTACGATTTGGTAATAGATTATTGGATTTAATTGATGTGATGTTGGTGGAGGCATTACTTACAATATGATTGCAAAACATTAAGGGGCCGTTTGTTTTGAAGGATGTAAAGTACATTACCTGTAATGTGATTGATTAAATTACATTGCAGTGTTTGTTTTGTAACAAATCACTGCAATGTAAGATTGCAATGTAATCCACATTGCAGCCAATGGATGTAATGTGATTGCAGTCCAAAACCAATGCAATCACATTACATTGCACTCTGTAATGTTCTTAAAGACAAATTTACCCTTCAACTTTATTATCTTATTAAAAATATTTATAATATTATAATTAAAATAAATATATAATATAAGAATAAAAATTAAAATAAAATAAAATATAAAAAATTAATATTTATATAATATAATAAACAAATTAAAATAATATATAATATAAAATATATTAAAGAAATGAAAAAAATATAAAATTATAATAATAAATAAAAATAAAATATATGACATTAAAAATATATTTAAAATATGATATTATATAAAAATATAATATAAATATAATATATTAAAAAATAAAATATAAAATATTATAATATAATAAAAATAAAATATATGACATTAAAAATATTTAAGAAATGATATTATATAAAATTAATAATATAAATATAAATATATAAAAATAAAATATAAAATATTTAATAATAATTAAAAATAAAATATATGATATTAAAAATATATTTAAAATGATATTATATAAAAATTAATAATAAAAAATATAATATATTAAACTTATATTTTTAATAATTAGAGGTAATTTTGACAATTAGCATTAACATTTCCACTAAAGTACTTGTAAACCAAACACTGCAATGTTATCTTCCCTGCATTTTAATCATTATTTTACTTACATACCCAAACACTGTAATGTTATTTTCCCTGTAATCACATTGCTTGCAATCACATTACTTGCAATCACATTACCTGTAATCACATTGCATTGTAATGTACCAAACGCCACCTAACATTTCACTAGCTATAGTTTGGGAAAAGATAATTTTTTATTTCACTTGCACTTTTTGTTCATCATTACAAGAACATTTATTAAAGTTTCTTGTAAAGAATTTAGTGTTTTCTTTAAAAAATAATTTTATTAATTTCGATAATCGATAAATACCATTGAAAGTATAAGGTTGTAATTGCCAAAGATTCCCTATGACAATAACAAAGAATGGGGCGGACAAGAAACCTGTACAATTAGCAATAGATTAGTTGCTCAAACATCCTTGGCAACTTTACAAGAGACCAACTTAATTGTTTCCTAACTTCGTTTAAGTACTCACTTTCAATGATCAATAATAAATTAGTCTTTAATTTAAAAAAAACAGTTATGGTTATTAATTCAAGGAAAAGAAAATTCAAATTTGAAAGAATTATAAATTCCAAGTGCTTGTAGATATATGATCATCATAGTTAACTACAAAAAAGGAATCAGAATGAGATGGAAACAATGTAGCAGTCTTTGTATTCAAAGACAGTATGGATTAACGACAAATTAAGGACACATTGGACAGAATAATTATTAAATTATCAAAGAAAAGTAAGGTGGGGGGAAGGGTGCTTTTTGACCAGGTTTGAATTGGACACCAACTTTAAGTTGATGTCTTGTTGTGTAACTGACAAGCTCGTAAGCAGCTAGAAGTCTTTCTATGGGTCGAAAGTAGAGTTAGGGAAACCCTTATATGGATCCTAATGCAAAGGGAAAAAGGTCTGTAGGTTACTCAGGGCTCAAGCATCGAGGGTAGACAACCAAGCCAACGACATAGATTATTTTCTTTCACAATCAGAATTCACAAAAAGGCAGCAGCAAGAGCTTGGTTTGGGAACAAATTAGATCCAGAGCTTTTGACATTAAGCACCATTATTCTACACTTTGCTAGCTAGCTTTTGCATGGTATTGCCTTTTCTGATCATTTTCTAGGTTTTCTTGCATCATATGAGGATGCTAATTGATTGCTGGGGGTCACTACTGATAGGTGTTGGAAGCCTCATTGCCAAGCAAGCTCCTCTGCTCATAGACCTCATATTCATATGGAAACACTCAGTTTATCTTATGATCTCTTATTTTTTTTTATTACATGTCCAATAAATATAGAGAACTTAAATATATAGAAAAAAAATCATAACAAATTAATAATGACCGATGGAACTTTTGGGCCGCCCAATTATTACCCAAGGGCATGCAACGACTGAATAGGAACCTGGAAGCAACGATAGTGGCCGGTGGGGGAGAGTTTGTGTGTGAATATGATTGAGTAATAATGTTGATGTTTCCCATGTCTAAACTTGAGAAAACTCCCACCTATCTCTTCATTAAATTTCATGCTCTAATAGTCCAAAACATGGACATTTAGTCCTCCGTCCCCTAGAAATAAATTTATTGCTCAAATAATTAGATTATGTTTTTTTTTTCAAATATGTTGAAAAAAGTGAATCATTACGCTGATATCCTTATCAAAATGAAAGTGATTACAAGTGAAATGTTTGCGACTTGATATTGATTGAGCATATTAATTTTTGAAGTAAATTATTGCTTTGATACTCTTATCATAATGAGAGTGTGATTAGAAGTGAAATGTTTGTGATCTTATGCAAATTGAGTATTGCGTTGATACTCTTATCATAATGAGAGTGATTAGAAATAAAATGTTTGTGAACTAATGCTAATCGAATGTGTTAACTTTCAAAACTATTTATTGATAGACTT